GGGTACGCCTAGCGTAAGCTGGGTTATGCCCAGCGTAATGGGGAAAGTTAGACGCGCATGTTCAAGGCGTACGCCTAGCATACAAGGAGTACGCCCAGTGTACGCTCAGAGTCTCAAAACCCTAAATTTAGGGCCATCCATTATATAAGGAACATAATGGCTCTCACCCTAGCCTCCATAAACGCTCTCTCATCCTCAGAAGCCCTAGATAACTGTTCCACCTCCTTTGTTGGGTGTGTTTGACCTTGGAAAGCTTGTTTTAGCAAAGGAGAGTCAAGAAGAAGAAAGAAGGAGTTGCCAAAGAAGAAGTTGAGTGGCTGGAGCTTGTAGATCTGGAAAGGCATCATCTTCTAGAGCCCTTTTGAAGTAAAAAGTCTCTAGCTTGACAATCATATTGTGTAGATCTATATGTTGTTAAGTTTTGACACCATTCTTGTCCCAAAAACCTCATCTTGATGCATGAGTCAAGTTGGTTGAGATTAGCTGTCCTTTCAGACCTTAGGAGAGGTCTTGAGTAAGAAAAATGAGGTCCCAAGGGCTTTGGTTGTCTCATATGTGATATAAGTAGGTCTTAATGGATTAAGACCTTGGATTAAGAGCTTTTTGGATGTCCCAGGTGATAAAGTTTGAGACTTTATGGATCCTAGACATATTTGGCTTATGGATCTGAAGTTTGGGCTTAAGAGCTTGAGCCATTAAGAACTTATGTGGATTTGTTGATCAGCGAGGTTACGCCCCGCGTAAACTGATGTACGCCCCGCGTACTTACCATTCTGCATGTACGCTTAGCGTACATTGATGTACGCCCCGCGTAATCTGTCTGTATGGATCATGATTTTTGGGACTTATTTGATTGGGCTGTCTATGGACTAATAAAGCTTGGGCCTTGACTGTATGGTATGGATGGAGTATTTTGGGTCCAGTAATTATTATGGACCTTGGATCTAGGCCCGTTTGTAGAGGTGGGCCCAATTTAGCAAATTGGGCCAATATTGGGCTTTGTATAAGAATTTGACTTTGGGCCTTGGCCCAATAAGAGGATGATGGACTTGATGAAGTGTTGTGGGCCTTAGTCATAGATCAGATTGAGTTAAGGGTAAATTGGTCAATTTACCCTTGGAAGGATATTGTGATTTTTTTTTGAAATGGCAAATCTAACCTACTCCTAAACTACACCTTAAATCCACCTATGTCCACAACGGGACTTGAACCCTCAACCTCAAGGAGGGAGGGCAACACCGGATACCGCTGGGCTAGAAGCCCTTTGGTATTGTGATTTATCTAATGGTTATTTCTGCTATGTTGGCTAGTTCGGGATTTTCGATGAGTCGGTGATTCGGGAGTCTGCTTTTCAGTTCAGAGTTTCGGCAGTTGCGAGGTGAGTTATCCTCACTATATCGACAGGGTCTAAGACACCAAGGCCGACCCTTTATTGGACTGTAATCCGGGTATTGTTGTTGTGTTATTGCTTGCTATGTTTGCATCCTGGTCGTTAGGATAGTATATGTTAGTGACCGGTTAGGTCGGTATCTTGTTTAGAGTATGCTGTGTATGTGATCTGCTAGATCGGTTGACTGATGATTAATTGTTAAGTGGTTATATGTTTATGTGCACATGGTTGGTTGACTGGGGTTGGGTTGAGGTGGGTCCTGCTTTGTGCTGTAGGCCAACATACCCAGGGCGGACTGGATATCCTGAAGGCTCAGCGAGCGGTCCGGATAGGCTGTAGGCCCCACGAGGGCGGACCAGATGTGCCGAGGCTCGGAGAGTGGACCAAGCCGAATGAAGGCCCGGTGTGGGTGGACTAGTCATAATGTAGACTCAGAGAGTGGACTACGTGGGTTGAAGGCCCGGTGCGGGCGAACCAACCACACTGCAGACTCGATGGATATGGCTAGACTCGGAGGGTGGACCAGGTGGACTGAAGGCCCGTGGGTTGAAGGCCCGGTGCGGCGGACCAGTCACACAGTAGACCCGAAGTGCATGGTTGTTCTATGTTCTGTTATGATATGGCATGTTATGTGTATGGTATATGTGGTTGGTATTTTGGGGGTATCTCACTAAGCTTTCGGGCTTACAGTTGTGGTTTTAAATGTTTCAGGTACTTCAGGAGATCGTGACAAGGCAAAGGTGTGATCGTACCGCTCTTCATGTTTTATGTGTTTATGATGTGGTTATGGGAAAATACTCTGATAATAAGTGTATTGAAAACCTTTTTGTACTAACTTTATGAAATTGGGTTGTTTTTGAAAAGTTTAAATTGGCTTGAATTCTATGGTCGTTACAAGTAGCTTAGATTCTTGATCATGGGTTGAGATCCAATTATTAGTTGGATATTGTTTGATGATGTTAGCGTGGGGATTTTCTAGACCAGCAGATCGAGATTTATTTGAGAGATTCAGCAGCTAGATGTGAATTTCCTTCACTGTATCCATGGGTCGAAGGCATCAATGTCGGCCCACCAGTTTATGATGTAGTGTGATGATTATATTTATGACAATTCTTAGTTATGCCTGTATTTTCTTGATGACTCTGTGATTCCTGTTATAATCATTATTGTAAAACTCACCAAGTTGACCAATTACTCCTCCGAGTACTCGCTAGTCGGCCCCCTACCGAGGCGAGTTACAGAACCCCGAGTACTCCCCGATCGGCCCCTTACTAAACTGAGTAGTGTTGTAAAACCCGATCAACTCAGTGATTAATATGTATAATATACTTAACGATTAATTATTTAACACAAACACATGTGATTATTACTATATATATATATATATATATATATATATATATATATATATATATATATATATCTTAAATTTTTAGTAAGTATTCATGAAGTGAGACCATTTTGTGTTTTTCAGTTTTTGTGTATCCACATGTATCTAATTTTGTTATATAGTTCAATCAGAATAAGATTTTAACTTGTGATTTTGACATATATAAGTTCCCTACAAATATTTCAACATGAATTACCGAATCCGAGTACTCCCCGAATACTCCTGAGTACTCGCTACTCGGTAGTCGGCCGAACAGATACCGAGTAACGAGTTCTACAACCTTGGTTATAATATTATGTGGTAGTAGTAGGGGTGAAATAGACCCGATCTCTGGTTGAAATAGACTGAAGGGGATTGCAAGCACCGAGACATGCTTAACAGTATCCGGTTGAAATAGACCGAAGGGTAGGCAAGCACCCATATATGCTTGATAGTATCTAGTTGAAATAGACCGAAGGGGTATGTAAGCACCCAGATATGCTTGACAGTATGTTTCTATGGTATATATCGTATTCTAGGGAACTCACTAAGCTATGTGCTTATGGTTTTAAGTTTATGGTTCAGGTACTTCTGGTTTCGAAGGGTAAAAGCTCAAGATGATTGCAGTGCACACACCACATTATTCTGCATTTATATATTACCCTGATGTATTTGGATGTTAATGATACATTTTGATTCATCATGATTTTTATGATGTTATTTTGGATATTAATTTAAAAATTGAAATTTTTAGTCTTAATTATTGGGATGTTACACAAGTAAAAAAAAATCAAGATTGTGTTTCGTTTTTTTCTGTGCTGCGTGTTTATTTTGTTTGGGGACAATGAACATTTCTCATGAAAATTTCTAGTGTTCGATGCATGACTAATGAGTTGGGTAATCTTGTCAAGATCAATATCCTATATATAATCCTTTTTTGCTTTTCAATATCATGATTGTAAGATCGGATCATGATCCTAGTATCCTACCAATATTATATATTTATAAACTTAAAACAAAAAAAAAATACATCACCATCCCCCTGTTGATTATTAAGAAGTTATTTAAAGTTCAAACATTAGTGATACCGGATGCTATATGATCTATTCTAATATAATAAATGGCGAAATTTTGCAGACACATATACCAACCAATAGTCAATATGTCCACCTGGATAATTTATGTACAATCGACCATGTGGAACTAGTTTGACCATATGGAACTAGTTAGCGACACATATACCAACCAATAGTCAATATGTCCAACTGGATAATTTATGTACAATCGACCATATGGAACTAGTTTGACCATGTGGAACTAGTTAGCATCTGGTAGAGCACAACCTTACCTTTTTATATTCATAAGCTTGAATCTTACTAGTTTCTTCCTAATATTCCATTTGAATTTTGAGTTGCTTCTTGATTTTATTTTATTTTTTTATTTTTTTTTTCTTTTGATTCTTAGTTTGATTTTTGAGGGTATGACGGGTTTCTCAAGTACTTGAAGTGAGAAAGTTTTTGTGTGTGTGTGTGTGCACGCGTGTTTACCTTACCCTTTAATCCTTATGATTCAAAAAGGTTAAAGTAATATGTACAAAACTATTAGGTAATTCTTGAATTAAAATTTTGATGGAATTATAGGATTGGATCGGATCCCAATCTGAAATACAATATTATGAAATACGATATTATACAAAACTTGATCCTAATATGATCCATATTATTTTTTTAGAGGTAGGATCGTTTGCTCGTAAAATCATATGATTAAGATTTGGATCTTGTCAGACGTGGTTTGATCGTCGATACATTATAACGGGTTGCGGTCATCTCCGTGCTTACTCTCACACATCATAACCCGTTGTTCGGCTCATGTAATGAGTTGTCTCATGCTCACCCTTAACAATCTTGTGTTATAAACAAATCTTACACAACAATTTTTGGTCATGAATAATACTTATATGTGTTTTTTTCTTCATATTGCACAACCATCTAAAGTGTAAATTACTATGTATTAAAAAATTTGTTGTAAATAACTCCTATGTAAAATACCTTAGGGAAATTAAATATCTTTTATTTTTTGTTTTTACAAATCCACATATCCAACTAAATGGTTACAACATATAATACTCATTTAATGAAATTTAATAATTGTTTAGTATATTAATGTGACACAAAGAACAAAAATATAATCAATACCTTATAATAGCCGGTCAAAAGAAGAAAAACAAATTCAACATCAGGAGAAAAGTTATCTGAGTTCGGTATTGGCGCGGAAAGTGGAAAATGAACAAGAAAAACATTCATTGTTCAACGTTGTCAAAAATACAAAGATCAAATCCAGTGAATGCCTACAATTTTGTCGTAAACATTGTTGAATTAATTGCTCAATTTGACAGATTTCCATCGGCCATTTCTAATTTCAATCAATTCAAGAATCGATTTTGTTCAAATCTGAGGACTAATCGCGGCAAAGATGACGGGAAAAATAGGCGAACGAAAGAAATCTCGAGGCTTTTTATTGTTCATTTTGATGATAGCATTGGGGGTGGTTGCGTTCGCTGTAGTGCTTACTTACACCAAGAAATTTGTGTATGGAACAGGTATCGTCTCTAAGAAATATGGCGATGCTCTAAAGATCGCTATGCAGTTCTTCGATGTCCAAAAATGTAAGGCTACCCGTTACATTAGTCGTAATTTATCTCTTTAATTTGATGTTTAGCTCGATTTATTTCAAGTTTATCTTCCATTTATGATCAAGCTTACATGTAATCTTTGAATCATAAGCATTCGTTGTACATGTGTTTTGGGACAATTTATCTAAATGTTACGATGATCGCTTTTTAACTTTGGATTGAGAGTAATTTAGACGTCAAAAAACCACTTCTGAATTGCATAGCAGCTAAAGTTACTTTTTTTGATTCTTCTTTAACCCAATTCAAGAGATTTTTGCTCTTGTTTAAGAAGATTACTCTTGTTTTTACTGTTCTTTTTGGTCATTTTATGTATTAGTTCTTCCAATATTAAGAACTGTCTCCTAAAAGGGCAAACAAGGACTCACACTGGATCTCTTGTTTGTGTAAAAGACGTGAATGCCCTCTTTATCCTGAATTATGATATTTCCATTGTGTTGTAGCTGGAAAGTTGGAGAACAATAAGATAATATGGAGGGGAGATTCAGCTTTAAATGATGGGAATGAAGAAGGTGTTGATCTTTCGAAAGGAATGTATGATGCAGGAGACCATATGAAGTTTGGATTCCCAATGGCATTTACAGCTACTGTTCTTTCGTGGGCCATACTCGAATATGGTGATCAAATGGAAGTAGTGGATCAATTGCAACCTGCTAAAGAATCACTTAAATGGATCACTGATTACCTTGTTAATGCTCATCCTACATCTAATGAGCTTTATATCCAGGTAAACTCCATGATGATGTTAACCAAATCATTGCTTATGAGTTTTGTTTTATATAATTCAACTTATTTTTGGATCTGTTTGATTGGATGGAATGGAATGACAGGATAAATGAAATAGTTATGGTAATGAAGTAAGAAAGGTTATGGAATCAGTAATTACTTTCCATGATCATGTTTCGGTAGCGTGTAGGAGTGGAATTAAGTTTTATATGATTTTTTTTTTCTTTTTTATATTTTATGTAACTAAAGTGTTAACTGATTGTTTTATAACTTGATAATATGTTTAAAATGAGAATTGTTTATTCAAGTGTAGAGTTTTTACTATACTCTCTGTTCATAATTAATTTATGTTATAAAGATTTAATTTACTAAACATAAAAAATTAAGCACAATATTGAAACCCAAATAAGATTATAACAATAAATATATTTTGTAGTTACATTTAGAAAGATAATATTTTAATTTAATTATAACCGTGGAATTTTTTTAAAAAGGATACATGTCACTAAAAATTACATAAATAAACATAGGTTTTATTGCAACTTTTCATACCATTATGGAATGAAAAAAAAAACACCTTAAAAGTAAGAAATAAAAATTATTTAATGAAAATAATCACATTCGTCGAAAAATGGCCCATTCCACCATGCAAAATAAAAGCTTGTTCTCATTCGAACGGAATAAACCATTCCATTCCATTCCTTTCCAATGGAATAAACCATTCCATTCCTCTCCTTTCCTTTCCGAATCTCATCATACTAGAATAAAAGACAACTAATATTAACCAATTTACATCTATTTATGAAAAAATACAAACAATATGTAACCAAAAAACCTATAAACACGATGACGTGGCACTTATTGTTGCCAGGTTGGCGATCCAGTGAAGGACCATAAATGTTGGGATAGACCTGAAGACATGACTGAAAAAAGACCTATAAAAAAAGTCAACCCTTCAGCCCCAGGGTCAGATGTGGCGGCTGAAACAGCAGCAGCCATGGCTTCCGCATCACTAGTGTTCAAGTCTAGCAATTTGAAATATTCAAAGTTGCTGTTGAGTCATGCTGAGGACTTGTTTTCTTTTGCTAATGAGAATAGAGGGAGTTATAGCGAAAGCATCCCTGAAGTTGAAGATTATTACAATTCAACCGGTTTTGGTGATGAGCTTTTGTGGGCAGCTAGTTGGCTTTATTATGCAAGTAAAGATAGAAAGTATCTTGAATTTGTAACGGGTGAAGATGGAGAAAAGTTTGCTAATTGGGAAACTCCTACTTGGTTTAGTTGGGATGACAAGCTTCCTGGAACTCATGTAAGATTTCTCTCTTTTTTTTTTTTTTTTTCTCTTTTAAATCGATAACTTCAAGAAACTGATACATTAATTGTTGTCTCTTAAGAGACTTAGGTGTTAGTTTCTTTTTCACTTAATGCAGAAAGAAACGATTTAAGCAAGACCCTTTAAGTCGTAACGTTTTACAAATTTGTCATTATGTGTTTTTTTTTTTCTTATTTTTGCACAAGCATGGTGTCGTTTTCTCAACAATCTTTTAAGCATTGCTTATCTAGATTGAACTTTATCCAAATAATTTAGGGAAATCTCCAAATAAAGTCTCAATATTTTAGACCAGTTTACGGTTATTTTTTTTAAAGAAAAATCCCAATTATTTTATATTTTTGTCCAAATTAATGAAACAGTTCTTATTTTTTTTCAACAGAAAATGACAGATTGTCGTATAAAATTATATAATCAAGACTTTTCTATTCGAAAAATAAATGTTGGGATTAAACCGTAAACTGAACCAAAATATTGAGACTTTATCGAAGACTTCCCAATAATTTAATGGATGAAAAAAAGTATAACAAGCTAAAGATTGTACTAAATAAAGCTTAGGTAAAGTTGGGAGACCTAAATGGGGTTTAATTGGTTTCATTTTTGCTACATTTTGGGGGTGATTTTTCTTGATGTATTATTCCCTTATGTCACAAAATAAATTCTTAGGTTTGATTTTTAGTACATAGTCTAATGAATATATTCGACACTTAGGTAAAAAATAATATGTCTTAATAAGGACAAAATTAAGGAATCGTGTTATATCCTATGTAACAAACGCAACCTATGAAACTATTAGGAAACTCGATAAATATTTGAGTATTTGAATGGGCATATTAGGTTTTGTTGTCAAGGTTAAGCTTCTTTGGTCCTGAAGTTGTAGCAGAAACAGAAAACATGGATATGTATAGAAAGTCAGCTGAAGCAGTCATGTGCAGCCTTTTGCCAGATTCTTCATCCGCAACATCAAGCAGAACAAAAGGTATTTTTCATATTTTAAAAGAACAGAACAGAACAGAACAATGCAAAGTGTTTCATTGTGTTTGTTGATAATGCAGGTGGTCTAATATGGGTGAGCAAGTGGCATTCGTTGCAACAACCTGTAGCTTCTGCATTTTTAGCTGTTTTATTTAGCGATTATATGATTTCATCGGATACTTCAAAACTCGAATGTAATTCAGATTCCTTCTTACCATCCGATCTCCGCATGTTTGCCATGTCACAGGTATTGTTTTGTCCATTCATTTCTTGTTTAACAAATAACTTATGGGAGATGTTGTTTTTGATAATAATAGTATTAATAAGGGTTAAACGCAAGAAATAATATTGTACTTTTATTTATTTATTTATTATATAAAATTCTACATTGCTATTTCTTGCACTTAGCGCTAATAATAATCACCATATTTCACATTGGGGAATTTTCATTGCGGTAATTTACTAGATTTTCCATAGTGTAATGCCCTGATAAAAGAGTTTGAAACTACAATATTAGGTACATTTTCTAAAGAACAATGTCTTAATAAAAGAAAATAGGATGCTATAATACTTAAATAAATGAAAGTACATTCTTATTTCATTCATTTATCCCTTCAAATAATCCACGAATTCATTACTAAAATTTGGTATATTTTTCAAAGTAAAATGTCCTTATAAGAAAAATTGTTGAAATTATATATTGGGTATATTCTTGAAAATATGAAAACACAATGTCTTAGCAAAGAAAAAAAAATTGAAAGTACAATTTTGTGATAGAAAAAAAAATGACACTAGGATACTATAATATACAAATAAATACAAAGTACATTGCTATTTTATGCATTTATCCCTACTAATAATCAACAATTTTTCCATTAGGCGGATTACGTATTGGGAGACAATCCAATGAAGATGAGTTATCTTGTCGGATACGGTAACAAATACCCGCAATATGTACACCATAGGGGAGCCTCGATACCTGCTAATGTGAAAACCGGTTGCAAAGATGGTTACAAGTGGCTCGAATCCAAGGAACCAAACCCTAATGTTGCAACCGGTGCACTTGTTGGTGGGCCCTCCAAAGCCGATAACTATATAGATTCGCGTAATAACTCCATGCAAGGTGAACCAAGTACGTATAATACCGCAGTTCTTGTTGGGCTCCTTTCGGGATTGGTGTCAGTTTCATCGGTACCTAAATCATTCAAGTGAAACATCGCATGCTCTTTTCATACAAACAGATAAGGGTTCGAGTTTCAAAAGGTCCAACGTGAGAGTTTGAGTTTAAATATAAATTGGGCTTCAAGTGGCAGTGTCAACCAGCTGAGACATTGTGCACCTGATTTATATCTTATATGATACTAAAGGGAAACCGAGATGAGACGGTATCCTAGAGTTTGAGATTGTTGGAAGGATAACACATATACATATTGGCGAATGTGATTATATAAATTATATTATTTGTGTGTGATTCTAACTAACTAAATAAGAATAAGGAATAGGAAAAACACATTTATAAATTAGAACATATTGTGAGTCTAGTTACAAGATAAGAAATCAATAAATATTTCAGTTTAATTATATATTAAAAAAACTACATAAAACACAATATTACTTTTTCGTGTTTTCCTAGCAATAGTACACCCGGTACAATCAAAATATACATGGAAGTAAACAAATCCATACACCCTCCCTCAAAGTCAAGGAGAGTTAAGATCCTATGTTATATATCAGAACAAACTTATGGTGGTCTACTCAATCTAACGGTTGTCAATGGTTTTCAGTTGGAAGTTTGTAGGGATGAGATTAAGTCAACGTGCAATCTCTGATTTAGCAGTATAACCCAATTGTTGCTCCATTTCCCAACTCAGTTTTACTTCACTCACATTCTGCTCTGGGTCGTATTCCTTCAAATTTAAATTTTATTTTCACATAAATGTTAAATATATAATAAAATATTCAAATGACAAACATTTTTATTCGAATAAAGAATTAAAAGATGTAATAAAAAACTACCATACTTTTACTTACATTTGATATTATTAAGTATAGTTATATATTTTCTATTTTTTTTGAAAGAATGTTTTGCTTAATTGTTCAAGAAAACGATTATATACCTCAAGCTTGGACAATAGTTCATGGGCAGTTTGGGCAGAAACGATAATCCCACGGGCAGCAGGGGAGACGAAACCTTCATCAACAGCCTTGTCTATGAAAGACAACAAAGAGTTGTAGTATCCATCTACATTCAACAACCCTACCTGTAAACATTTAAATCTTTTTAACAATATTGATCATGAAAAATGGTATGCTTTAAAAAAATGTTAAGAACTGTTTAATAGTTAAATATTGATCGAACCAACATTGAATCTGACCAAGTAAACCACATATCTGAGGAGTCAAAAGGAGTCATGATTGAATCAGTTGTTTCTAAATATGATATCAAACAACCTTAATTATCTAGTAGACTCAAACTCACCTCACCTTTAATGTACATTATTATATTATATATAGCCCATGTTAGGCCCCTTTTGTTATAGCCCATTGTACTTTGTATAGACTATGCTAGAATATGGTATCATATAATATGGTATCGGCGCTAAATTGGGCTATTATAGTCATATATATAAGCAAAAACTCATGCACACAAATTTTATCTTATCCAAATATTTTACTCAGTAATAAAAAGATGAAAATCCTTAAATAAATAATATTATAACATATAAAAAAGGATTAGTGCTACAAAAAATATCATTCATATTGAAAAATATTAATCACCGGTTTTTGGTGGATTCCAAGTTGTGCCCATGTAATTACTTCGAGAAGTTCCTCAAGTGTACCATAGCCACCTATAAAAATATTTACCGATATACAATATTAATAATAAGTGACACCTGCCCCTATTGATTTTTTTTGTGTTTAATGTTGAATTTGTAAAATGTAAAAAATATAAGGATCTTTTTAAATTTATTGCCTCAACAAAAACACAAAAAAGATAATTAGGCAATAGTAAGTTAATACACTTAATTTGCGAAGTCATAAATGAGATATATTTATTGTTTTGAGTTAGTTTCACCTTTTTTTGTTTTAACGGAAAATATAATATAAGTTTAAATTATTTATAAATTTATTTATGTTTCAGATAATATTTGAACTTTCAACCTCAAAGAAAAATGACAACATCTAATAACCCTAGATTAGAAACCCTTTGGTGAGTTAGATTAATAAAATAAAGCAATTTGGTTTTGCTAAATTAAATTATATTCAATATATTATTAAACTTTTCTTAGGTTTTTATTATATCATTTAATATATTTCCAATCGGGTAATTAGTATTAATAGAATCATCTACCGGTGATATTCAATATAGCAAAATTTATTCATTTAGATCTATTGAGGCTAATATTATTTTCCATTGTGATCATATATTGCAAATTATCCATTTCAAATTCAATCTTTTTTTTTATTTTTTATTTTTTTATTTTTTTGAAACGGCAAACTAACCAATCTACTCTTAATTAACCACCTATGTCTCCACCGAGACTTGAACTCCCGACCTCTCATATGAGATGGTCAATGTAATGAGAATGCATACAAATAAATTAACGACTTATTAAATACAATTAAAATATAAGCGATGGAAAGAACAAATTCAACAACACATCTTGAGTTTTATCTCATTTGTTTTTGTTTGTGTTTTATTTATTTATTTTTTTGTTTTCAAATTCTCATATTATGTAATCGAATTGAAAATAAAGATGCAAATACATCAATTTTTACTACGTTTATATATATATATATATATATATATATATATATATATATATATATATATATAATTTCCGAAATGAAATTCTACACAAAATTGATACCTGGCAATGCTATAAAAGCATCAGCTTGTCGTGCCATCTCCGCTTTCCTTTGATGCATGTTCAACACTGGTTTAACTTCACCGATGGTTTCTCCGATGATCTGAACATATCGTATTTTTATTGTCTAATACAAAAACAAATAAATAAATAAATTAATAATTAACTAATGAACAAGAGACTCTACCTCTTTTGGCATCAACACTTTGGGTATCACCCTAAACATCAACAATAAACAATAAGCTTGAAATTTATACATGTACATAAATTATGAATACAAAACGATTATCCATTGAAAGTAACAAATTCTGTAAGAATGGAATTATCCACAAACCATTAACCATTTACATGACAAGTCCCACTCATAAAAGTGGAATTATAAAAAGCACCAATCAATCAGAAATAGGGTCTAATTGTCAATTTTTTTCTTTCTAAAATAGATACAAATTGGTAAGTTGCAAAATTAGAAACAATGACTAAACAAAAAACAAATTCGTATTCTATAGCTACAAAATTGACACAACGAAACGACAATACCAGTCCTTTTCCTCATAGTTTGGAATATGCATGATTTTGAAAAATCACCACTAATTTTTTATTTTGAAAAATTATGTTTCTGGTCATTTTTAGCAGAAAAAATCTACTACATTGCAAAATATTAGTATTTTATAAAATATAAATGAATAAATTATTCCCAAAAAAATTTAAAAATATTATTGTTCTACAAATTCTTGGTATTCCACGAAAATAACAAATAAACATAGAATCTGATTTTGTAAATTAATATAAATTCATGAAACTCGTTTTACAAGTAATTTTTACAAATTTATTATTTTATTTTCTGTCATGATCATATGACCTATTTTAATATTTTAGTGATTTATTCGTACCCTATGACATGGCAACCACCATCGAAAACGGCTTTTGAAACAAGACCCATCAACCCGATGCTTCCTCCACCGTATACCAAATCAATCCTCCTTTCAACCTGCAATTTCCAAATTATTTTAATTATACAGTTTAATAAATTAATAATTATCAGAAAAAAAAAAAACTTTTAAAGTTCTATAAAACACAATTGTTACCATTATTTTAAATAGGTCCAAAATTCATTGCTAACAAAATGTAAAGCCAAAATGACATCGGTTTGTATACCAAATGATGAAAAACTAGATGAGTATCATCAGGGCTACAAACTAGCTGAGTCGAGACTCATGCTTGGTTTGTTTAAAACAATTATAAAATGATTAATTATCGTAAACACGGTTAATCCGTTGATTTTGAAACCCCTATGTGATTAGTAAAATTAATGGTTCCTTAAAATTTTAGATCAACGAGAGATTAAAAATGGATAAAGATGGATTAGTAACATATAACGATAGATAGCCACATATTAATAACAGATTAGTAACATATCATCGAAAAATTAAAATTGTGGGCTCTTTCACAAAACATGAGATCATACACCTAACACCTCCTCAAGGTATCGAGTTGAAATTATATTAATGTAATTCTTTTAGACTTTGTTTGAAAACCGCTGAATGTTCTTTCCTAGACTGTGTCAAAAAGTATTGTATATTTTTATAGAAAAGACAAGTTTTAATTGTAATGGGATTTCTTTTGTAAGTATTTAAATAAATTAAACAAGGCCTTTAGCTTTATTGACTGAAGTAATTGATCCATGTCCTTTTTTTATATGTATATTAAATTATTATTATATAAATAATGAAAACATGTGAACCAAAGTTTACTTACGTGTTACAAATGAACTAGTAGCATTTATTTATTTATAAAAGATTATTATAAAGTAATTATAGTATATGATTTGATATATTTAAGCTCAACCAGGCCACTAAAAATGAAACTTGTTCTCACTTTTTACTTTTATATTAAAATTTATCCTTCCATGTCGGTTAATATGAAATCCATTACACCATGTAGACACATGACAAATAGTTGACCTAGTAATTATCATACCGGCCAGGTATGTTTAGGAAAGTTAACTCAAAGCTAAAATTATAACTGTTATTTTTGTAAAATGTTTAGGCAAAAAAATCATAAATTTTTTGAAATGTGTAAATCAATATAAATATATCAGTTAAAAATTAATAGCTTTTAAAAACTATTGGATTTAATTTTTGAGTTAGAAAATTTTCATTTAATATTAAAGTTTTAAACTTATAATCTCAAATAAATCATTTATTATTATTATTATTATCATTATTATTATTGTTATTATTATTATTTTAATTTCAGGTTCTGTTTTGAAGTTGGTTGACGAACATACCGTTGATATTTTATAAGAAAATCATTTCCTTTCTTGATAAAAACGCGCAAAGAAGCCATTGTAATTGGAAAACATGAATACAATGTCAAAATTTATACATGTATACTTTTGCTTTCCTGAAAGATAAAAGATGGACTATGATCATTTTATATATTCATATAATTTTGTAAATATGAACCTTTGTACGATTATTTTGATATAAAATATCAAATACCATCGTTAGAAATTTATATATAGAGCCAATATAGACCATTTGTCGCTTTGCATGGGGTTCAAAAGTAGTGCATGTACTTCCATAAGGGTCATAGCCATTTATTAACTATCGCACACGTTGAATTTCA